GAAGTACATGAAGTTACAGCTGAATTTTCAAAAGATTTATTTATTATTTTCGGCAACAGCAGCAAAATTGTAAGAAAGAGAGTCTGAGTGAGGCCACTGCAGTACCTCAGCTGTCTGAATACTACAGGATGCTTCTTGTTCACACTATCTAGGACCAGATTTATGACAAAAATACACAGTTTTAGACGTAAACTGGATTTTGGCTATTGTAGCACATTGCAGGCTTTCCTCGGAATGAATTCGATTTGAAACCAGCAGAATGAAAGTAATTTTATTTTTTGATATTATTGTTGATGTTACCATTGTTATCATTATTTCTGCCATTATTATCTTTAGCGAAAAATTCACCGCTTGTCATCACCTTATTATAATAATTATAATCAGAATAATAATAGGGATAATACTAATAATAACTATTGCTACCATTATCTTTACTCTGATAACGTAAGTTGATTGTTCAGGCAGTGCTGGTATCATTATTAATATTTACGTTTCTGCTATATTACAGGCGCTTATTATTCAAATTTCGCCTACCTTGCAAATAATCCACTACCGGATTGACAACCGCTGGCGATGGAGTGACCGGCTGTATGACGATCTTTGCTTTCCGATCCTGCATCATATCCCTTGCACACGTCTTTCTCAGCCAATCCAAGCCTCAACAAGTAAAAGTTTTCACCCACCAGCAACCGAAATGAATGAACAAAACTGGCTCATTCGAAAAATTATTTCCACTACTGCACTTTTTCGGCGGCGTTTGTAGGAGTTGTCTCAGCGTCTGAATGATAATTTATTTTTATGAGCAACAAGAATCCATCCTTCCGAACTGTCTTCTGGAATTGTGTGAATGAGGGAAGCCTATTGCTGAGTAGAATAAAGAAGTTGCGAGTCGCATCAGTGGCCAGAAGAAATAAAAGTTAATCAATGTATGAGCAGCAAACACCTATTAGCAAGACCAATTTTACCATGAAGTCAAACTAAAGGTGCTTCATTTTTCCTACAGTACAAGCTAGCACCAGATGATCGTCAAAACGATTCAGCGAAAACTGGTATGTTTATTCAAAAAAAGACAAAAACTCCCCATTTTCGATCTGTATGAGCGAGTGAGGCATTTAAATGTATTCTGAGAGTAGCAAGTGCCAACAGCAACCAACCGCTTGCTAAGCTTTCAGTAGCTTTCACTTTTGAAGTTACTTATAGGTGGCGACTGATGGCGGAATTGACTTTCTGCTAAACACCAACACTTTTATTAATGCAGTAAAAAGCCGTAAAAGGAAGGAAAAGCGCTGCAACATTATCCAGAAACTGCAGCGGCAAACGGCCTTCACGCGTCAATTCATCCGTTCCAACTCGACATTTCCAAAAATCCATTCACATAATCTTATTGCCTTCACCTCTTCTTTTACTCATAAACACTTCTCTTAATTTGCATAATTATATGCAAAAATTTCAATAAAACGGAACTGTGCAGTCATGCGTTTTTGCGATAAGGCTTCCGAATCGCACGCTAAATAAGTGCAGTGGCAAAAAATACACTAAATGTTGGAACCTGAACTTCCAGATGATACAGGTGAGGATGCACAGAAGTTAATTTCAGGATGTTTGCTTCACAGCGCTTATTTACCACTCCTTCCTCTACAGATGTATTTTGCGCCTTTTATCTCATTAATTTCTAAATTCTTTTATTTGTTGTAGAATATTAATCTATCCAATAATCGTTTTACTGGCGAGATCCAGTTGTGGTACTGAATTAAGATTTATAAAGCTTAATGAGTCGAAGTGTTTTAGTCTCAGTTAAATTAGTAATTCTTAATGTATGTTATAGTTTTCAGTCCTTAATTTTTCTAATGTACGTCACTATCACCTCTAAAATAGCATTTGTAACTGTGACTTAGCCTAATAAATATCTTAGCATCAAGTGAATATACATCGAAAATGTGAGAATAAGTACCAAGTGAAGCTCCAAAAATTTCTCAGGTGGGATACAGAAAATCCTAAAACAAAAAAAAAGGAAAATTTAAAGTCAACTTGTTAAGAAATGTTTTAATGGAACTTCGGATATAACCATGGCTGCTCTGGATGAGGAACTTATTGAAGCTGACGACGTGCACACACACACACACGCACACATACATACACACATGCATTCACATACAGGCACAGACACACACATAAACACGGAGGTCGGGATGAGTTTGTAGTGTAAAAGTGTGTTTGAAGCGCAAGAAAGAACAGCTGAGGCAAGCGAACTCTTAAATACTTTGCTTTTTTTTTGCACAATGCAAAAATGAACACCGGCTGCTTTTGTTATTTCGTGTTTCGCACAACTGCTTTTATTGCCAACAACATCTCGAACTGAAAATCTAAAACCGTAACTCATTTTGATGTATATCTGAATGCACCAAAAAACTAGTATATTTTTGCGATGAACTTATGCGAAATACACAGTGAACAAATGTAAAAAAAGAAACGGCAAGAGTTTGTTGTTACCTCTTTGATCTTCAGTTTGCGATTAAAAAAACGGAATTTTCAAGTCTGAATTAGCGAACGACGTCCAAGGTAACCGGAATCCAGGATCCAAGATGGAAGGTCAAACGAGATCCAAGGTCCATTGTGAAAGGAAGGACGAGATCAAAAGTCCAAAAATCTCGACTTTTTTTGCTTGCCCTATCCTGTTGTTGGGTTAGACCATTTATGTACATTCCGAATAAGTGGTGATGCGGTAACCGCTTCAAGCAACATGTAACTATCACGAATTTAAAAAAAAAGCTTAAAGGATCAAAATTTAAACTCAAAAGTTAAATTCAATTTGAATTCAGAAGTTGAAATCCAGCAGCCTAGCTATTAGCAATTCAGCAAATTTAGTACTTTTGTAAATCCCAAATTTAAAAGGTAGTTTTTCTTTGAGAAGCAAGCTGATGGCTGATTTGACTTAGTGACATGTTCCAGCACTGTATTAAATTTCTGATTTAACTAAAATTTACCAAAACTGCCTCAGTTCAATGAAACTTAGCTTTATTGCTAGCTTTTTAAGTAGAATGCGGCAAATTATGAGTAAATGTGCAGAGATTATCATGATGAAGCTGTTTATTCATACTGACAATACACATTTTTAGGCAATTGAGGTAGAAAATTAACAAAAACTAAAAAATCTGTGAAAATTAAAGCTGCAAAATTTTTTTCAAACAAAAATAAAACAGAAATTTTAATACACAGTGCCATACACACACACAAATCACATCAAAAATTACGGTCACACATTTAGAACACGTGAAAAATCACTACTATACACACGAAAATTACATCAAAAATCGTGATTACACAAGAACATCACATTTGATTGCACTGGTAAAGCTGAATGCCCCAGTTCATATGATTCTAATTTTGAGCTTTCTTAACCAATTTTTTAATGAGTTTTTGCACCACTATGCAAATGCAAAAACGCATGTCGTTGAGAGGATGTTTCTAGGAGGATTTTAGGATGTTTGAGAGGATCTCGCAAGGATATTCCAGGCTCACGTGCCATCCAAACGGCCTAAAATCAACGCTTTCCTACATCTAAATTTTCTCCTTACTAAATTTTTTAATATCATCCTTATTACAATTGGCTTGCTCATGATATTAAGGGAGAGCGACTACCCACATCGGTAATGTCACATATTTCCCACTCTCCTTTTTTTCTCTTCAAATTTCACTCATCTGGAAGATGTAAGTAGCTGAGGGTAGTAAGGGTAACACTTGTCACCTCCTCTTCAAACAGAGTCAAATTTTGCAAAAAATACAAAATAGTACAGAGCTATGCCAAGCGTTTAGTAATTCAGAATACTCGCAAAAGCAACAACTACGGCAGTTAAATTTACAAGGCGTTATGCATGCTAACATATCACAACATCTATAATTTTGATCATTAACACACAACACCCACAATAATTGCCCGGGGCGAACCTGCTGTTCCTGTCATAATTGTTGGTAGCAGACTTAACAAAACGATAACAAACTTTTGATAAAATTTCTTTTTAAAAACAGTAAAATAAATTTACTTTGAGAATTTAAAAATTTATTCGAAATTTCTGAAGTACAAGGCCTACAAAAAAGTCAAATTTTCAAAAATTAATCTCAAAAATTTTGATTTTTCATTTAAAACAGGAGAAACGTATTGTAGTTGCCTTTCCTTGCCGCTATGATACCCTCTCATCATGGCTGGGAATGGTAGCGTTCCAGACCAGGTGGTTATGTTCGGCACACATCAAGAACATTTCAAAACAGCCAAAAGCAGGCCGAGTGCTTCTCTTGGGAGGGCGACCGCTGAAATGATAATTTTTTCAAAAGACGAAACGAATGCCAGGAGCAAAAGCAGGCTGACCATCGAGCGATCCAGTACCGGCTAAAGCATTTGGGCAAGTTGCCAATGGCAAATATGGAAAAACAGATTAAAAATTACAGCTTATACAAGCAAATATCACAGTTTCCCAACAAAATTTCACTCAAGAAGCCTAATTTCAAGCAAAATTAAACTAGCTATTGTTAGGGAAAATAAATTACTTTATTTTTGCAACATATCAATGAGCGCTTTGAGTGATTGGATGTAATAAGTTGGTACTAGATCTTCACGTCCAAACTGTTCAAACTCTTTTACTGCAGCCAAATTATGCACTCCAGTTTCCACCAGTACAGATGTCATGCCATTCGTATGGCCAAATTTAATATCGGTATCACAACG